CCCCCACCCCAAACTCTTTTACTGACCTGCCCCCCAGACCAGGGCTCTCCATCTCTGCTCTCCCACCCCTCCTTTCCAGCTAGTGATTTTGGCCCCGCCCCTCACAATCACGTAGCCCAGGCCGCGGCTGGAGAAATCAGACGTAATGAGGCTGGGATGCTTTGTAATTTCGGGCCTCATTCAGAATCTTCCTTAATGGCACCCTTGCTGGGAAGTGCTGATTTTCACTCACGAGAGTGAGTATTGATTATTATAATGCCAGAGCGAAGTAGAATGCCGCTTAGGCAGATTAAAATGACAGGACTTGGGTTCCTTTTGTGCAGTGGGAGAATTCCTGTAGGTAATTCTGTTGAAAAGTCTCAAGGAGCAAAGCCTGGGTTGTGTAGAGAAGGGAGAGTCTCTTTATGGGTGGTGGTTTACTTCCGAGAGGCTGCAGCTTTATCATTTTCCAGCTACTAAAAGATTGTGTTATACTGAATCGTTCCGGAAAGTCAAGGCTTTTTTTTTTTTTTGAATATAGGTAGCTGTTAGACTTATTTCGTGTTGAAAGAAGTTTAATTCTAATTTCTGAAAGAATAATTTTGCAAGATTTGCTTTTACTGTTTTTTTTTTGTCAGGTTAATGTTAAAATGATTGAACATGTGTACTTTTTAAAAGAGTTATGATTACTGTTTTCAAACAGGGAAATACTTACAGAGTTTATATCACAGCTTGCCAGCAAAAAATAAATAAATTAATAAAAATGCAATGACAGGTTGATGGGGCTTGTTGTGTTTCTGGAAAGTGACGAAGTGCTGTTGCTCCCTAAACAATTTGACGGTAATTGTGCTGGGGCTTTTGCATCACACCTTAGTGTCTGTTTGTGGCAGGCTGTCGGCTGTGTGTGGGTGTAGGGGGGTTATAGAGGGGGGATTTCGAGCCCTGGCCTGCTCGCTGAGTCCGGCGCCGCTTCCCACAGCCATGTGAACTGTCGTTTTTGGTCACCGTCCACGTACCCTGTTTGATGGACACAACCCCAGCCACTAAACTTTCCCCACTCCTCCCTGTTTTTGTTTTCACTTCTCGCTGTATCTTTTAAAGTCATTATCTCTCTCTGTTTTGCTTCTCACCAGCTTCCCCTAACTATCGCTGTTTCTGTTTGTTTATGCCGCACCCACCTGCCCGGCGAGCAGGCATGATGAGCCACCCCCCCATCCCCATCGCCGAGCTAGGGGAGCACACGGAGATGCTAAAGGCCAATGACAACCTGAAGCTGTCGCAGGAATACGAGGTGAGCCTGGGAGGGAGCCAGGGGGCACGCCGGCCCGCCGGGAATGGAGGAGCTCGCTGGTGCATCTTCCTCTCCATCCATGCTTTGATGGAGAACGCGAAATGACAAACAAGAAGTGGTGCTTCGTAACACAGGAGTTGGGCAACTTCTTTATTTTTTAATTTATTTTAATAATATGGCAGATTTTCTCACACAAATATACAGCTGCTTCTGTCAGAAATAGACAAGTGGGGAGGGCGGTGTTCTGTTCCCAGCGTCCCTCACGTTATGATGAGTCCCTCACGTTATAACCGTACGTTCAGAAGAACGGTGAAGGTGAAGAAACCGAAAAGCTCCTCGTATACAGGTCAATAGGGGACACCGTGTGGGACTCGTCATCCCTGACTGTACGGGTATCTTCGTACGGGTCTCTGCAGGTGCTTTGAAAGCAGGTTACAGTGTCTGGCCAGTTAAGAGGTGCACAGGGTAAAGAGGCCACAGGGTGGATAAATATTATGTCTTCTGCGTCTATCTAATAGCTGGCAGCTTAGCCGCTTTCCTTTAATTCTCCCGCCCGCGTGCGGTTTCACCTTTCGGCATGGCCCTTTGTTCCGCGCACAAGGCGGTTGCATCCCTGGTGACCGTGACCCTCGGGGGGGTCCTTCAGTGTGATAGAGGGCCCACGACAGTAATGCGAAGCCACGTTTCCTCAGGAATAGAGATTGCGGCTTTATCTGCCGTTCTCATATTCCGAAAGCACTCGCACTCGCACTGTCATGCGAGCGTCTGTGCAATCAGCTATATTTGCCTCCCCCCCAAACCCCCCTCCGGGGAAGAGCTGCCACCTGTACTCATGTTTTTATCGGCGTTATTCGCTACCCGCATCAATGATCGCAATAAGCCAGCCGGCGAGTTGCCGGGGAGCACTTTAAATAGGAACCGACGGGCTTTTAATTACACCCTCGTGAGTCCGCCTCCGCTGTGCTGCTGCTCTCTGTTCCCCACATGGATGCGCACCAGTGTGCTTACTGCCCGTGTGTCCTCTCCCCGCAGTCCATCGATCCCGGGCAGCAGTTCACCTGGGAGCACTCCAATCTGGAGGTGAACAAGCCCAAGAACCGCTACGCCAACGTCATCGCCTACGACCACTCCCGCGTCGTCCTTCTACCCATCGAAGGTGAGCCCACCTGCCCCACTCCGGCTTCCTACGGGTTTGCTAGATCATTCCCCACAAGGTCTCTTATAGGTGTGGAAATATTAATCTTCCCAGTGATTAGCGAAGGTGACTGATGCTAAGGTCTGTCTCCGGATGTTTCCGAACGGCAACGCAGAGATATGTGAACCGCTTCATGACGTGGCATGTAATAGAAGTAGGACAATTGAATAACTTTGTTACCCATATTAATTCATGGTGACACAGCTCTCTGCAGAAAGGCAGCACGAGGGCCACTTGAAAGACACTAACGTATCTAGAATATCATGAACTAATCAACCCAAAAACTGTAATTTTAAATGGGGACGGTTTCACCACGGGCAGTGTTGGGCACAACTATATCAGGGGCACAACAGTCATTCTTCCTGAGTGTCTAAGTCATATTACGCCTCTTATATTAAGGAAAATTTTTGCTCCTGTTCTGCTGGTATTCCTCCAGTCAGAGGTATATACAGGGAGTGGGGTCATAGTTGCGCTGAAAACTGATTGACCCAGGAGTGTCGACTGCCCTGTCAATCATCATTTCAAGACATACAATTGGCAAAAAATAAGCTTGGTCCCTCTGTATGAATTATGGTTTTAATGTTAGCTTGTGTACGTCCTGAATATTAGTTTTTATAGAAATCTGGTGAACATGGTGTTCACATCCTTGTGATTGTAGTTGTCGGTGGAAGTGTCGACCCCAAACCCCCCCCACGCCCGTTTCCCCAGGTGTGCAGTATCGATAGCGTGGGAGGTGTGATACGCCGTCACACCCCCTCACCCTGCCACACGGCAGTTACACATAGGGCATGAGCCATTGGGGGCTTAGATTTTACCCTTCAATTCTGACTCGGAAGTTTTCAAGGCAAAAATGGGGGCGGTGTTAACTTTTTGCATTTTTTTCCCTCCATTTCCCCAAAGTACTATTGGCCGGGATATCCACACAGTTTAAGAAGGAATTTCAGTGTCTTTGGTAGAGGAGTTAACATTTTCAAAAACAATGTCAACTCTCGTCTAACTCTGTCATACTTAAAGTCTCTGTGTGCTCAATGTCAGACATAATTGTTACTCCCAGCAACCGCAGAGTCTAAACTAGCATTAACAGACAGCAAATTCTTACACGCTGCCCTAGATAATACTGTTTGTCAGTGCTTAGAGTCAATGAGCTCATGAGATTGAGTACTTTTCACAAGAGTATAATAGCAGACAGTGCCCTGAAATGTCATTCAACCGCCTTTGGCTCTTAATTTCATGTTTGTAGATTTCATGCTAACTAATGCTAATGAACAGCATATTTGCGAATTAGTAAAAAAAACGTCATTGCAGACAAGGTAATTTATATAGACTTGCTGTCAATTCAGAAGACGTGAGCGTGCAGGAAGCTTAGCTGATGTCATAGGACTATTCTTGAAGAGGAGAATTCACCACATGAAGAGTTTAGATGTTTTCGGTTGCGTTCGGCGTTTTGTCTCACAGTAGCGATTGGGTTGTGCCAGACGGTACCTTAGCAGGGGCAGTGTAATGGCCGCCACAGAACGCGCCCTCTCTGTTCCCACCTCAGGCATCATGGGAAGCGACTACATCAATTCCAACTACATCGACGGCTACCGCAAGCAGAATGCCTACATCGCCACGCAGGGCCCTCTGCCCGAGAGCTTCGGCGACTTCTGGAGGATGGTGTGGGAACAGCGGGCGGCCACCGTAGTCATGATGACGCGGTTGGAGGAGAAGTCAAGGGTAAGGGGGATCCGGGCAGGATTCTGGGATCCAGTCATCCGGGCCCTACGCTCATGGCCTTTGGGCTCTGCCCTCACTTGCAGTCAAATATAGTGCATGCACGTTTTCTACAGTAAATGACCGTGAAGCAGAGCATCCAAGTTTAGCAACTGAACCAAATGTAAATATAGAGGGGAGACTTTTTTGTCTAGTTATAATTAAAATGAACCTGCTCCTCCGGTGCATTTTCAGCTTGTGTGAGATCTTCACAAATTTATGAGGTCTTCCATGCTGCAGCAAGATACTGTTGGGCTTCAAAGGAGTTGGGAGTCTCAGTATATTGATCTTGGAGTTACTGTGATCTCCCGGCTGCCTCCCACAATGCAGTGTGGCTCTAATATAGCCACCGTGACAGATGGCGGAGAGACCATCGCAGCCGCCGCTCCGCATCCGTCCCGGTCGGACTGGGGAAAATCGACAGCCCGGCTGTGATCTCGCGCATGTGACCAGTCCCCCCTCGCGAGTCCGTGTTTATCCGCGTGCGCCGAACCTTTACTTTTGCGCTGGAAGAGCAGCCAATGTAGCAGACGTGGCCCGTAGCGGAATTTTCTAGAACCGCCGCTCGTATGTGGAAGAAAGAACAAACGGAGGCGCGCAGAGCTTGAATGCGCCGTGCGAGGGGAGGGGAGGCGAGGGGAGCCGAGGGAGGAGAGCCGAGGGAGGAGAGGGCGGTAGCGGGACTGACTGCAAATCCGGCGGCCTGCGGTGAAGAGTATATTTAGCTGACAGTTTGTGACAGGAGACAGACGCGCCAGCGAGAGGCTGCCGTGAGTCAGCCCTGCCGGGGAGGCCCTCTCTGGTCCTGGGACACTTCCTGTGCCTCCTCTCCTGCTTCCCCGCACTTGTTCCACGGTTCCTGGTGGCGTAATGCGGCCTTGGCGCTGCATTAAGCCCCCGTCAGCTTCATTCTGATTGGCTGGTCGCGATGAAGGCGGAGTGATGAGGGGGTGCGATAGACTTGTGCTTTTCCAGTGGTATGTGTCATGCCGCATCAGCGCCACCTGGAGATGACAGCTGGCAAGGCGAGAAGAACCTCAAGAGCTGCACCCCTCCACAGTCACACCCACAAGGGGGGGGGGGGGTGCAGTAAGGGCATTTAAAGTTTGATTGACTGGTTGATTGATTGATCTCTGCAGTGGACTTTGAGCTCTGTGTTGTTTCCTGACATATACTGTGGTCCTGCTCAAGTCTGCATGTTCTCTGGGTGTTCTCTTGAGGTGGGGGGTTACGTTGATCTCAGCCTCTCAATCCACCCGCAGGTCAAGTGCGACCAATACTGGCCCAGCCGTGGCACGGAGACCTACGGGATGATCCAGGTGACGCTGTTGGACACCATTGAACTGGCCACTTTCTGCCTGCGCACCTTCTCTCTACACAAGGTAGGGGGGGCGCTGAGGTGCAGGGACAACTCTGGAGTGCTGGGAGATCTCAGAGGGCCAGGACCATAAAGTAAAAAACCAAGAATTTATAGGCAGCATAACTGGATTTATGAACATCAATACCTTGTAAAAGGGCAATCTAGGAACATTCCCAAGAAGCCATTAGAGGCAAAGTATGGAGTGTCCTTGGCTGGTGACATCTGCTGTCCGGCCTTGTGTGTAACGTTCTTACTGTCTCAGCTGACCTTTGTTAAGACGTCCGACTCGCTCATATTGGTACTCTATATCTTGAAGAAGAGCTCCCTCTAGTGGTGTAATAATCCAGAGCTAAAATGATATGAAACGGACCCCAACCCCAACTGGTTACATGTGGCCCCGCTTAGCTATTTACGGAAGCACCAATGAGTCGGCAGTGTGTGATGATTAAAATAATCACACGTTCTTTCCTTATATGGGCCTTGTTCCTTAATCCCCCTCCATCATACCGTCATACTCAGTTCATCATCTTTTAATATTTCACTTTCAGCTAGAATCGCTTAGCTAAGTAAGCGGAAGACAAGGCTTCATGCCTAACTGGAGTAAGAACATCACAACCAGCAGGCTAGCAGTAAAGAGAAATTGTGGCAGGATTTGCTAGCGCCCCGAGCGAAGCATCCGAGGAGAGAACATTAGCGTCTCATCCATCAGCAAGGGCGACTGGTGGCTTAGCCCCATGCTAAAGGCCTGCTGACTCTCTGTGACACTCACGCTGACAGCTTTCGCCTCGCCCTTTACTTTCCACCTGCCTTTGCACATCTCTCTTCTTCTCTTCCTCTCCTCCTTTCATGCTCTTTTCCCCCCATTTTTCTCGCTTCTTCTCTCGCTCCTTCACGCTCCGGCTCTGATCGGCGCTCGCGCTCTCTCATCTGGCGGTCGCTCTAAGCCGTGGGGCTCTGCTAGGCTACGGAGTCGAGTTTCTCTAGTCTGTATGCAATAAGCAGCCACTTCCCCAGCACCAGTCGCAGTGGGCGCGGGCTGCCGCATAAATCAGTTAGGATCCCACAAATTGTTTCACCATCCCTCTTCCCAGCACTGGCATCAGGTAGTCCAAACAAAGTGCTCGAGTAAATCAGCCAGCCCGCTAATTAATGAAAATCCAATGCACACAGATGACAGGCGGCAAGTGTCCAAAATAATTAAGGAAACGAGGCCAGTCTGATTTTAATTACAGGGTTTATTTATTAATTTATTCTGAAGGGCCATGGCCGGCAAATAAGCTGACTGCCTTGAAATATCCTATCCGGCCACTTAGGGGCAGTAGAGAGCACATCGTTTGCCGGCACCGGGGTTCCAACTTGTGTGCTCTGCTCCCCCAGCATGTGTGGCTGGGGATGCGGCTGAGTTCCCAGTGGCGACAGCAGTTAGCATTCAGAAAGCAGGAACTGTATGTGTTTGTTGTTAAAGTTCCCTTGTCAGCCTCCAAGCCTTCTCCCGTTCTGCTCCTTAACACCAGGTGTTGGTAACACTTCTCACATAGCTCCCCTGGTGCCTATTTTTAAATACGCTCCAAGCGCTGGTGAATAATCCCAGTGATGCCTTCATACCAGTCTCCATATACAATTTACATATAATAATAGTAATATATCACACCTCTTTTCAAATCATAAAGTTATAAATGTTAGCCTTTCCATGTGTTTCTCTCTCTGGTTATGCTAACCATTGTTTGTTGCTTTCACTATCGATCACTTTGCTGTTTTCTGGAGGATCTGGCTTCCAGCAGCCACTATTCATAGCATTTTTTTCTCTTTCTTTCCTGATAATGGGTAATTTACCAGTTCTAATTTATGTTGGATCAAATTAATTAATGGGGTGTTGTATGATCAAATTAACTTTGGTAGAAATAGCTGGCATTTTATTTGATTAATTTGTTCCTGGCTTGTGTCAGATAAGCTTTGGAATAATCAGCCATGCCCAGATTAAGCTAGTCTTTAGTAAACAGATCTTCAGTTTGGACAGGTCAAGCAAATTGCCAGAGTAACTGTAGTAATTAGAGCAATATTGATACACTGTATGTAATATTGATATTGGTATGACATATTGAGCAATTACCCATGGTTTTGGAAAGTATTGGTGCATCGGTGGTATATTGCAGTTTGTAAATGATGAATAGTTAATGACAGGCCAGCTGACCAATGAGGCGATCTGTCCGTCTTGTCCCGCCCCCAGAATGGCTCGAGTGAGAAGCGGGAAGTGCGGCAGTTCCAGTTCACGGCGTGGCCTGACCACGGAGTGCCTGAGTACCCCACCCCATTCCTGGCCTTCTTGCGGAGGGTGAAGACCTGCAACCCGCCAGACGCCGGACCCATAATCGCCCACTGCAGGTCAGGCACCGCTCCGACCTGGGCCTTCTCCAATTTACACCCCACAGTGGAGTACTCGGGCTCTGGGTCACAGCAGATAACCTCATTAGTAACCAATCCTCATTAGAGACTAATCAGCCATGTACAAATAACTTGATTACAAACCTTCCAAACATTAGGACTCTACCTCGCTTATGGGAGTTTTACGTACACAAAAATGTTCTGAGTGCAGAACGAAAAATGATTGGTTCAGAGAGATAACCAATCAGATTGTAGAGGAGGTGGGTGAGAGCAACTAGAGGAGGTGGGACGAACCAATCAGATGTCTTGGTCCTGCCTCTTCTAGTTGCTTGGACCCACCTCCTCTGCCATCTGGTTGGTTATCTCTCTGATACAATCGTTTTTCGTTCTGCCCTCAACTTTTTTGTGCAAGTAAAATTCCCATGAGCCTCTACCTCATAGAGAGTAAAACAAAATTTTGTCAAGGATGGATGTTTTTTCTAGGAACCACATACAGCAATTCTCCGTGGTCCTCCAGGGACTGACCTTCCACACTTAGTGTACTTAGTGTCGGATAATTCGGTCACACGTGTGCACCAGTGGCTCTCAAAATAGGCAGGAGGAGTTGAAGTGCGAGCCCTCTTATCTTCGGCCTCCCACAGGCCTCGAGGCCTCTCGCGTCAGTCGGCCTGCTGCGGATGTTGTGGCTGAGGGCCAAGCTCCGGTCCCCTTACGTCATAAACATTTTGTGTGTGCGTATGACTTTTGTTTGTGGGGAATCGGGAAATACAAAGAGAGCCCAACAAACCCAGACACTGGGAATCTCACACTTGTGCTTATCCGAAATTACACTAATGCTAATCACCGGATACTTTACACTGTTAAACTAATTGTTCAAACTTTAATCAATTCAACAGTTCAATTTGATCTTAAACTGAAAACAATGTAGCTGATGGAACTTATTTCATTAACTGGAATTTGAATGAATTTAGGGCCCAAATCACACATAGAAAGTATAAAACCAAACCAAAACATGTCTTTGTTTAGTACTGCTCCCAGATTATCTACCCATTTATCCTGGTTGGGGTCATAGGGTGCTGGCAGAGTACAGAGTTTCTCAGTTCTGACCCGAACCTTTAAATGCTTCCCGTCAAACCACTTACAGTGAACCACATCACATCAAACCACTCTGGGGGTATACACAGGGGCGGGGCCACGTGGGCACTGGAACCTTGTGAAAGCTGATTGGCCCCTGGAGTTCTCACTGCCCTGTCACTCACCAATTCAAAATGTGTCATTGGCTAGTGATAGTGCCATATGAAGTACGGGCCCTCCTATTTCCATCAGTATAAGAAAATCTGGAATTAATCCTCAAACTACTTCAAATCCAGGAACAGCATTTCTGAACGTGATTTAATGAAAGATCCCCTGATGGTTGCCGTAGTGATTATGGTACATGGATGAAAGGTTACCTTGGTTACCTAGCCATGACCCCGGCAGTCAGTCTGACCCCTGGCTGCGTCACCCCCGCAGTGCCGGCGTGGGCCGCACGGGCTGCTTCATCGTCATCGACGCCATGCTGGAGCGCATCAAGCACGAGAAGACGGTGGACGTGTACGGACACGTGACGCTGATGCGCTCGCAGCGTAACTACATGGTGCAGACGGAGGATCAGTACAGCTTCATCCACGACGCGCTGCTGGAGGCGGTGGCCTGCGGCAACACCGAAGTCCCCGCCCGCAGCCTCTACTCCTACATCCAGAAGCTGTCGCAGGTGGAGATCGGAGAGCACGTCACCGGCATGGAGCTGGAGTTCAAGGTAAGAGCAAGGCCTGCTGGGTAATCCTCCATTTCCCGTCTCCATGGTGATCGCTCTTATAATTAAGCACCTTCAGCTAGTCCGTATAGTTGTCATATTCGGTTTATTTTTATATAGTGCCTTTCACACCACTTTGGTCCTTTAAGCTAACCAGCTAGTCTTCTGGCCCCTGGCATATTTTTTTAATGGCAGCACTGGCAAGCAGAGGTGGAAAGTTCTGGTCCAGAAAGTTCAAATCCAGACCAACACTTTTTTTTTTACCACCCAGTTGAGTTTAAAGAGTCACAGTCAAGGAGTATTGAACTGGTTGGTTGAAACAAAATCGTGGCCTGGATTTGCATTTTCTGGAGCTGAACTTTCCACCTGTTAGCAAGCTTAGCGTACATGGTAGTGTGGGGGTGCATTGTTGCCCGTGGTTTGGGAACTAAACTCCTTGTAAGTAATAAAACTGAAATGGGAAACGATGGTCACCCAACCTCCCGATGAGTGTATCGCGTTCGGGTTAAATGTCGCAGCGTTTTGGGCGTCTGATGAGGGAACAGAAGGGATTTTTGTTGCCTCCACCTTGAGCACGTCAAGCACAGTGTGGGGGGGTTAGGGTTTGCTGTCGTATGCACGTGCATCTGTGTGCGGGAGCATTTTTGAGGGTGAGGGTGGGACTTGGGATATCTTCCCTCCCCCAGCCTGGTAAGGAAGCCCCTCCTCTTCCTGAGATAGGCCGACGTGGCGAGCATTAAACAGGAAGCGGGGGCCCGGCGCTCTAGAGAATTAAGAGCGAGGCGATTTGCTCAGGCAGAGGATGTGAAGGGTCCTGTGAAATATGACCTGTCGTCTTCCAAAGAAGAATACCCACACTGCCTGTTTCATTTTGCTTCTAGAAGCCTCCGAAAAGTTTCTTTTATGTAGAAAATGTAGAAAAATGACCTGGAAAAATGTGGATCATCTTCCTGAAGGGTTATTGCTTGCTTTTCTTTAATTGTTTTTCAACATTAAGTTATAATGATGAAAATGTATATATAAAGAGCACTTGGAAATCCATCCACTGCTCTGAAGGGTTTCAGTAACATGTCATTAGCATGTAAATGTTGTTGAATGCTGCACAACTCACACCAAGTATGTCATTAACCCCCCCCCCCCCCCCCCCCCCCCCCCCCCCCCCCCCCCCCCCCCCCCCCCCCCCCCCCCCCCGTCATCCTGCAGCGCCTGGCCAACTCCAAAGCGCACACCTCCAGATTCGTTAGTGCCAACCTCCCCTGCAACAAGTTCAAGAACCGGCTGGTGAACATCATGCCCTACGAGACGACGCGCGTCTGCCTGCAGCCCATCCGCGGCCTGGAGGGGTCCGACTACATCAACGGCAGCTTCATCGACGGGTACAGGTACGGTTTTTGGGGGCCATAGAAATAAGGGAACGTGACTTCAATCAGAAACAGCCCCTCCCCTGAAAGCTAAATTACACAGCTGGGAACATCGATATACTGGCACATTTCAGATTAACTACTTACTCATTGTAACAGGAGCTGGCTCCTTGTTAGGTTAGGTTAACAATTCCATTATTCCCTTCATGCTCATTCCTGCTGTTTGTATAACTTTACTTTTCTAAGTCCCACTGACCTGGCCCACCTGCGTCCGGCCTGCTTTCTGATGCGTGCGTGTGTGTGCGCCCCTCCCTCAGGCAGCAGAAGGCCTACATCGCCACACAGGGCCCCCTGGCAGAGACCACCGAAGACTTCTGGAGGATGCTGTGGGAAAACAACTCCACCATCGTGGTGATGCTGACCAAGCTGCGAGAGATGGGCCGCGTGAGTGCATAATGCGCTACCTGCACCCCCGCTAATGCCGCATGTCTTAGTGCTAATATATTGCATGCCAAACACGCTAACGTGTTACATGCATTACTGCTAATTTTACATGTCGCAGCGCTAATGCATCATGGCTAATGTATTGTCTGTAAGTGCTCATGCATTACACACATAAATGCTCATATATTACACGTTAACGATTTAGCCACATTTCCTGTGCCTTATTTATTTCTTCTGTGTGTGTGTCTGTCCCCCCTCCAGGAGAAGTGCCACCAGTACTGGCCCGCGGAGCGTTCTGCCCGGTACCAGTACTTCGTGGTGGATCCCATGGCCGAGTACAACATGCCGCAGTACATCCTGCGGGAGTTCAAGGTCACCGACGCCAGGGTGAGCCTCCCGGCATTTACTGTGATTTTTAGGCCGCGAGGCTGCAGTGAATGCAGGGGCACCGTGTTATACACTGCACACCAGTGTTTAATTTGGACATGTATGATTTATATTGGTGTAGAATGAAATGTAATTTAATGCTGCAGTGTTGTACTATGTGATAGACAGCAGTAATTAATGTAGTACTTAACGTACAGATGGGAGTATGTATTCTGCTGGAAGCTAGTGGTGTTTTAATGCTAAATGCAGTGTTTCATTACTGTGATGTATGGTAGGAATATCCACATCTCAGCACCCTGCCCCCCCTATATTGGGCGGGGGGGTCATTAATGCAGAGGAAATGGGAAGGAGCTCAAAATATTGTGGGAGTAGAGGAGGGTGTGTTTCTTACGGGTGGCACTGCTGTTCTCAGTATCACCTGTAGAGGGAGCAGCTGCAAACTGGGGTCATTAAAGAGAGAAATAATGGAATAATTGCAAGGTTGTTACCTCGGAAAATTCATGCACATCACAGCAGGCTATGATATGTCAGTTCTGTAGCTTGTATCCATGGTGGGGGGGGGGGGGGGGGGGGGGGGGGGG